ATCCAGCCAGGTGCAAGTGGAGGAGTGGGGAATCAAACCCGGTTCTCCCAGATCAGAGTCCGCGCACTTAACCACTACACCAAACTGACTCTTGCTGACTCCAACAAGTAGACTGCTGGAGTCGAGTATCTGGCAGTCCATATTATTGTGCTACCCTGGACTGGAAGCACCCACGGGCACAGTCTCCTTAGGAAAAGCTTTAGGTTTAACTTTAAATATAGAACGGATCTGTGTAGGCATGTGATACCATGCACCTTCTAAAGAGGAGGAGAAGAAACCCTTTAAAATCACTCTCATGGCTGATTTGATTAGATAGATAAATGATAGATTATTCTTTTTAAAAGGTCCATGGGCATGCTGTAATTCTGCAAATGCATAGAAACCAGCTTCCATTTAAAAAAAAACCCTGTACGCTTCGTCTTTATGAAATGTTTGAAAATGTACCATGTCAGCATCTTTGAATCCAGAAGGCTGCTCATTAAGATTTCCAGCCGCTGTGGTTGATTATAGAAGCTCTTTGCCTAATCAGAATAATTCATGCAAAACAGGTAAACTTAACTACAGCATGCTAAATAACTATGCAAAGCTTCCTAAAATTATACTCCTCGTGACATGGCTGTTCCCGGTGCAGAATTTAGCTTCCTGGGGCATGCGTAGTCCTGAACCTACGCCACCCATTCGTCAGCGAACAGGGGATCTGGATCCTGCAGCACAGAAGGGCTTCACTGTGCCCTGGCTATAGGGAACCGCTTTATAGTGAAATAATATGACTGTCTGCTCCCTAATGTGTTAGCAGCTCCCTAATGCTTCACACTGAAGGATCTGCCATGCTATTACCTGAGACTGTTTAACTGAAGGCACTGGGGACAATTCGGGGACTTTTTACATGGGAGGTCTGTTCTTTCCCAGCTTCATCTCCCAGTAATGGGGGGGGGGGAGAGTCTCTCTCCTGATTGAATCAAACAGAATAGGAGGATCTCACACTTCCCTTAGTCTCTCCCTGCACCTCCTGCTCCCATTTCCTTGGGACTGCAGAAGTTCAACAAACCAGCCTCTCCTGGAAAAAAAAGCAGCTTTCTTGTGATTTTGGTTCTTTTGCCGTCAAGTAGCAACCAACTCGTGGTGACCCTGTAAAAGGCAAGAGATACCCAGAGGTGGCTTGCCATTGCCTGCCTCTGCATTGCAACCCTGGTATTCCTTGGTGGTCTTGCATCCAAATATCAACCAAGGCTGACACGGCTTAGCTTTCAAGATCTATGGAGACTGGGCTATCCCGGGCTTTTAGCAGGCCTTTCTATATGCCACTTTCCTGCCCTCTAGTGGTGAGACCAAGAGTTTCATCGTGTAATATTTCTTGAATGGACCTCATACTCGAGTTTAAAAGAGCATCAGGTTACGGCTCAGACTTCACAACGGCTTACACATAGAAGCCAGGACTTGGTTGACCTTTGTCCTCCATTGCACATGAGGAAATCAAATGTTATTTGCAGGGTACAGTGCATTCATTAGATCTCACACTGATTTTTTTTTATCTACAAAAAGCATAGCGCTAGCCCTCATTGTTGGTTGAAGAGATCACACTGTTGAGGGGCACCACAGATGTAAGAAGGGTTGCAATTTGCTAGAGACATCCTCATTCTTTGCAGCATCCCGTCATCCACCTTCCCAGCACAGCAGGGTTTTTTTTTCATATGCTCCGTTACTTTTGTGATTTGTGTTATTTTATAACTAGGGAAACCACACAGACAAGGCCTTGAAACCTTCATCCAAACTTCAGCTGAACAACTTGACTGCTGTATAAATCCTCACAATATGCTATTGTGAAGACAGTCAACACAGGAAAACTGTTTTCAGCAGGCAATGGGTTGAATTCGCACAAATGTCCACTTGTGGTAGAGCTCTAGTGCATGTGGAAGCGCAAATGAAAGACTGCAGTAGCTGCTGGCCAAAATTACTGTAACGCCACGTTCATTTCTGCTTGAACAAGATTTTGTGCAACCCATTTCCAGGCACTAGAATATACAGAAAGGAAAATGCACAAACAGAACTGTGTAAAAGTCCATTTATGTTTCCACTTGCACATCATGGGATCCAAACCAATATTGTTCATTTAAAAAAGAACACCCTAAGAATAGATGTTGAGAGCCAGTTTGGTGTAGTGGTTAGGAGTGCAGACTCTAATCTGGGAGAACCGGGTTTGATTCCCCACTCTGCCACATGCAGCTGCTGGTGTGACCTTGGGTCAGTCATAAGTACTGTTCTCTCAAAGGCAGTTCTCGAAAGAGTTCTCTCAGCCCCACCTACCTCACAAGGTGTCTGTTGTGGGGAAGGGAACGGAAAAAAGATTGTAAACCGCTCTGAGACTCCTCTGGGTAGTGAAGGGTGGGGTATAAGTCCAATCTCTTCTCTTCTTCCTTTTACAAAGGCAGTCAGGAAATAGCCATGTTACTGGTGAGCTTCTTGTCCAGCATGTTCTCGCTCTTCACTATTATTTGATGCACCAGCACTTAGAGTGGCATGCTAGAGTAGCCTGCATTTCCCTAGTGGCCAATTGTAAGCCCCCTCCCCCACCCCGATGCTCAATTCCCCAAATGATCCAGCTTGAAGACACTGTCTAGCTTCTCTTGCTCCAGCAGGCAGACAGAAGCAACCTCAGCCCCCATCCAGGGATGAAACCTATTTTCTACAGGCCTCAGCCAGCGGAAGGGAAACCCTGCTCTGTCCAGGACTACAAGTTAGCCCCGAGGTTCCCGTACAGGCAGACCGGAAGGTCAGTAGTTCAGCAGTTCGAGACACGAGTGCCGCATGACCGACTGAGTGAGCTCCCGTCTCTGGTCCCAGCTCCTGCCAACCCTAGCAGTTTGAAAGCAAAAATTGGCAAGTAGATAAATAGGTACCACTACGGTGGGAAGGTAAGAGTGTTCCGTGCACCTTGGCGTCTAGTTATGCCGGCCACACGACCACGGAAATGTCTTTGGACAGTGCTGGCTCTTCGGCTTGGAAACAGAGATGAGCACCGCACCCCTAGAGCCAGATTCGACTGGCTTTCGGGCAAGGGAAACCTTTACCTTTACCTGCAACTAGGTAGTGCCTACTGAGTTATTAGCTTTTTAAGGAGAAGCACGCTGATAGTGCTGCATGGGGACAGGAGAGGTAACTCTACACAGCCAGTCCCCCCACTTCAAAGATGATGATGCTGTAAGGTCTTTAAGGGGAGACGGATGGAGTGTAATGGCAGGGTCTCCATTAATTACTCTCAGCATTCCACAATTAAGAAGGGCACATCTGCCCATCAGTCTCCAAGTCTGACATTTTTACTTCCTTCACTCTCTTCCCCCAGAATTAAACCCAAACAAATGTCAACCTGAGCTTGTTATTCCTGTTTGGTCCTTGCAATCTGTTAAACATCTTCATTATGCTGTGCGCTAATCTGCTGCCTATATGTACGGACGAGTAGCTTCCATTTCATTGAATCTGAAGTAGTGTGTGAGCACACGAAAGTGTGTGTACCTCGAATAAAACCTTGTTGGTCTTAAAAGGCGCCACTGGACTTGGAACTTTGCTCTGCTGCTTCAGACCAACATGGCTACCCACCTGCATTCTACAGTGCCGCATACTGTGATCCATGGGAAATTCCAAGGATGGAGACGTCCGTTTTCATCAAACTGAGAGGAGAAAGAGCAAATTAGGCAACTCGAGCTACACAATGGGAAAAGGAACCTCATCCCTGTGCCACATCTGCCAGGACCCTTTTTGGATCCATGCGTGAATGAAGGAAGGAGCCTTGCAAAGGAAGAATCCTAAGGAAGGTGGGACGTCAACAGGAGAACGACGCCTGCCCCCTGCTGTGTATTATTTTACGCAGCTGATTTAACCGATCGTGGCTTTGTCACCAAATGGCTATACTGTTGAGAATTCTCATCAGGGGTCGTTTCGTAGAAAAAGAGGTAGGGGAACTCATTAGCATAACTCATTAGCATATGCCACACCCCCTGACATCACCGGAAGTGTGTCATAAGGCCACACACCCCGCCCCCAACGGTCCCGGCCGCCACCGCCGGCCTTGCAGCTCCACTGCCGAGCCCCATGAGGGGCCCGGCGGTGGACCTGCAAGGCCGGCGGGAGGGCAAGGAAGCCCCGCCAAGGCCCTCCCTCGCCCCC